CTCTGAAAAGCAGACATCTGTTCAGTGCTTGTATCCAAGTCCTGAATTCCCCTTTCTTTTCACAAAACCAAGGATTCCATTTGAAAAGTAATTTTCATGGAAGATGTTCAGCCAGGCATAGATAGACTTGGGATGTTATTGCCTGGGCGCAGAAGAAATGCTGTGGTTTGACCAAGATGCTGCAGACTTCTACATAAAAAAAGAGGACTTGGCCTGTGTGGTGTTGGAAGCCACTTTACAGGGTTCTGGAGGTCTTAATGCCCTTAAATGTCATGAATTGAAGAAAGATATAGAATGAACGTAGTGCTGAAAATTAGGGTGTTATACAAGTCAACAGTACATCTAACAGATCAGAATTCAGAATACTCAGATGTGGGATGTCTGTTTTCTGAATCCCAAATTGTTTTGCTTGGGCAGCAAGCGCCCAATGTAGGATTTAGTTCCCCTCACACTGGATGTGAAGTTAGGTGTCCACTCTGAGCTGCACAATCAGTTCAGCTCCTTCCATACTCAGCTGGGAGACAGATGCCCCCATGGCTCAGTCAAGCCAATCTCAAACTACATGTTTGAGGTACGTGTGAGGAATCACCATCAGACAAGAGGCCAAGTCAACAGCTTTAATATCTGACTTGTAGGTGGCTAATACCTGCTGGTATAGAGTCACCCGAGGTCTACAGCTTCAGCTCTAGCTGTGGCAGTGACAAGTGCAGCAGAATAATTTCAGGGTGGTAAAAGCAATTGTAGGCTCCGAGACAACTGCAGGAAACAAGTATTTTTAGTTTTAAGAAGTATGGGTCCTTTTTCATTCTAAGTTGCACTTTGGATGAAGAACATTATTTTGGAGCTGCCAGACCACGGGAATCTGACACCTCAAGTTAACTAAAAAGCACATTTCTATTTGGGTTTTGGTATGACAGATTTCAAAATGTATTTCTGTAAAATAGAATTCCTCCAGAGGTATCTATTTCTTTTTATTGATTATAGTAGAAACTTAGACGACAAACACTTAGATGACAACCTCCAACATAGTTCCTTAGCTTCTGGATGTTTCAAATTAGGAGAGATGAGTCCCACCTCAGCTATTCAGTGTAATGTTGTTATTGAGATCTCCAATATAATTAATGAAAGGGACAGGCATGCCCAGAAGGTGATTTAGCTTATCCTAGCACAGACGGATAAAGGGAAGAATGCACAAATATATAGAAATGTCTCTCTCTCTTTCCTTTTGTAGGAATGCTAGATGATAACTAGAATATATTACAAACTTTTAGACTGTTAAAGGTAAATCAGATGAATCACATTCTTCACTTCTCACCTGTGTGCAGAAAAAGTAGATAAACAATAGTGTTCTTCCCCTTCCAGGAGTCAATTCATAACAAAAGAGTTTCTGAAGTGCCACAGTGGGGGAGACAGTGAGAAAGATGCAACAGTAGCATAGTTTTTAACCCTGTGTACATTCTGGGTACAGGATAAAGGATACTGTGATTTAGGAATGCATGACGACATGTAGAGCAGAGTTTATTCTGTGTGGGTAGATGGGCAAGTCCATATCTTAGATGCTTTAGATGTGCTTTACAGAACAACTCTTCAACATCTGGCTGATGCTTATCTATGAAGACATGGAGAAAAAGAGAAAACCAAGATGAAGATGATGTCTAGATAGGAGCATGACTGACAGGTAGGATGATAATGTTGTCCACATTGTTTGAGAATGGAGGCAGAGGAGAGAGGAGAGAAGCCTGATCTGACAGCTAGACGTTCATTAGGGGATGCTGGAAAGACAGGCCAAGATTTTAGTTTGGTCAGGAGTCAGTCTTGCAGCAGAGAAGTTGGATCTGCAAGCTGTCACTACAGAACAGTAGCTGAATTTGTATTGGCAGACAAGGCTGCTAGGGGTATGGCTTCGATGAAGAAGGGAAAAGAATCACGTGAAGAGACCTGTATAAACAGGCCCCCATATTGTTGCGGAAGAGAGACAGAAGGTGACAGAGTGGCCAAGCTAAAAGTAAAAGTTATTATAAATAGATGCAAAAGTACATTATGATCTCTCATAAAGGAGGACATGGAGGTCATGTGAAACACTATTATAAAGCTGATGAGTTGATAGGCAATATGATTAAAAAAAAAAAACAAACCAAAAGCTCTTTTGGCAGGCAGGTACTGAAGGAACTTTGGGCCTGCTCAAAAGCAAGGGGTTTGGGGAAAGTTATATTTAAAATTAACTGGTTGTGTGAAAATTGTAAAGCTGCAGATCTGTTTGGTCGGGCCTTAGGAGAAACAAATGCCTTACATAGAGAAGTGGTCTTGTGATGGATGGTGGTCAGGCACCTGTCCAAGGAAAGGTTAATTAAAAAAAGAAAAACAACCCCCAAAAAAACTTTCACAAAAGAAAGTTGCCTTTTGAAACTATTAGGCAACATATGTTGTGTGAACAGGAAGTCACAGTAGAGCAATAATCCTGACAGCTGTGGAGAAACAGGAGTCTGCCGCAGGAACGAACGGCTCGAGACCTGACAAGAATGATGATGGATGCCCCGTTGGTAGTACACAAGGACACAGCAAGAGACGTTTAAATTGGCTGAACCACAGGAACAACTCTGAGTTGGCATCGCAGCCGGACAAATGAGGCCAGTCCTAATGGTGAGAGAAATGGGAGGGGGGACTGAAGGAAGATGGCAGCAATGCACCCCTCCTTTCCAAGGACGAGGGCTACATCGCCATCTCACCACGAGGTGGCTGCATTTCCCTGTGAACATTTAAGCCCTGAAAGAAGCTGTATACCCTGAAGCACCATGAAAATGAGAATGGGAGCGGAGATCTGCAGGATATGGCCCATCTCATTCAAAACGACTGAGAAATTCCGAGGTTCTGTGAAAAAAAAGCAAACCTGTGTTCCAAATCTTGATCAAGTGGTGGTCATTCAACAAGTCCTCACTAGTCTGCTGAACTGTGGTAACTGCCCATGCGCTTGAATGCAGTTCATGGGACATACAAGGTAACACCACATAACGGAGATTATAATGAAGAGGATGAACTTAATTTTCTAGTTGCTTCTCCTGTAAACTAAGAGTAGGTTTGTGGACTTTCTACAAATTCCACAATTTCCATGAATTGCTGAGGTTCAGCCAATTCATGGGAACTTGTCAAGCCATGGGAACTTGATTGTGAGCCTGGGATGTGTGTCTGGTAAAGAGTTAAATTGTGATACTTTTTTCAGATGCTCATATTAGTTATTCATGAACATTTCTATAGAGGTATTTCAGCCAAATAAGTCAACAGTAAAAATGGTGCCATAAGAACCCGACCCATGAAATGGCCAAATTCTTCACAGTTTTGCACATTCTAAGCTCAGTTGGTATCAGCAGGATTAAACAGAAATTTGCTCCCAAGTTGTTGAGAAACGTTTTGTTTTTTGTTTTTTTTTTTTTTTTTCTTATGTAAAATGTGCTGAAAGTAGGATGGATAAGAGCTGGGGAACAATAAGGATATTTTGGGTACCCTACATCTAGATAAAATCTTCAGCTCTTTCTGGGTATTGTCTGATTTACCCTGTCTTCCTGTCACTTCTGTCAGAGGAGTTTGCAAGACTTTTGGAACAAAGACTGGCTTTTTCTTACTCTTTTTTTGTGGTACCACACCCTGTGGAACTCCAGTTCCTTATCTGCCTTTATAGACACCCCTACTTTGTGTCCAAGTCTGAAAGAAAGTCATTAAAAGCACCTCTTTGAACTGTCTCAGGGAAGATGCCCATTACATTTCATTATGAGATGTCAACATCAAGCTCAACATCTTGGTTCTATTGGAAAGAATCTTTCAGAAAGAGAAACCTAAAGGTATCGCAATACTTCCAAAAATTGAGACCCCTATCATTAAGGAGATCTTTTCAGTACTATCAATGGTAAATATGTGCTATTTTTAAACAGATTTGTCTAAGATGGGGTTCAAAAAAATGAGATCTTGATGATGTGCTGCATTTAGAAACCTTTTCCCCTGCAAAGAATATTCCATTTTCATCCCTGCAAAGATCTAGAGACAATCTGCCAGGCCCACTTTAATCTTACTTGGATAAATTAATGAATTTACATTAGAGTCTTTTACTGAAAGGGAGATTTTACACTGTTAAATATCCTTTATTGAGTTTTCCTGTGTCTTTTCCAAATTGTCAGCGTGCTTCTTAGTCTTTCATGATTTACACTGTGAATAATTAATAATAAAAATAATATACTATTATAATAAACCAAAACATATTGCACCAGATTGCCCTTCTAGCTGACAGTGGCTTGTCTTAACATTCCTCTGGGTCTGTGTGACAGTGTTTAAAACTCTTTTTGCATAGAAAATGCATCTTCATTTCTACTTTCCTGAAGTATCAGGTTCAAACCACATATTATTAGATATTTGTACAAGTGGAATGATCCCTCAAATGTTTCCTGAAAGATGCATTAGTTAGTCTGACTGTCTTTCAAAAGTTGAATGGAGGGACCACACTTACGCTACACTTTTGTAGTAGCAGTGAGAGGTGCCCATTACTGTGTGGTTTGTCTCTAGCTTCTAGTGAACAACCTGCTGTCTGCTGAATATATTGGCAAAAGGCTGTCTAAGCTTCATGTAGAGGCAGGGATTCTTTGGGAAGGGAGAAAAAGAAGCTCTTAGACAAAGGTTTCTACTTCATCCTTCTGAAACTTGGAATGTTACACTTACACTGAGTTTTACTGAAAGTTTTTGACATCTGTGAACCATATGTCATTTTTTTCTGGTTGTCAAAACTGCAGGTAGCAGAATATAACACCCCTTGGTCTTCTGCACCTATGTGAAACAGTGACATCCTGGCCTTTCCACTGATGAGTTAAGAACACCTAAAGCCCTACATGCCTGAGCTGTTACCCATCCTTCCTGGAAGATGTGCTGCAGAACACAGATAAACCAGCCCTCCTCCATCAGGCCACAGGGAAGCAAATACTGGACCAATCCTCACTTGCCCGTGTCACAGAGCTACTCACCGGCATTGTCTGGCTGCCATGCAAGGCATTGATGGCTGCTTGGGCCTCTGCATGTGAAGAGTATTTCACAAATGCACACCCTGGAAGAAGAAATAGAAGAACATAAGAAAAGTTGCATGGGTACCATGACAGTCCACCTAGCTGGATGTCCTGACCTCAGAACTGGCAAATAAAGGTGGTAGTGGAGAAAGTATAACAAGTTAATGTGCTCCTGGTTATTCTTTTCCAAAGTCCAGTCATCAGCAGCCTGAGAACCTCTTAAGGCAAAGCTCCATCCAGAATTCCCACACTTTGTGTAATGGGCACTGATGGAGACAAACTTAGCAAGTACATTTTGAAGCCACTTATGTTTTGACCTCTGCAGGTTCCCATGGCACATTGCTGCACAATTTTACCACTTACTGTGTGAAAATGAGTTTTATTTATATTGGACTTAATGTTAAATGCTTCTCCCTCTGGGGTTGTGAGAAACAGTAAAGAAGTGTATAAAAGTTATCAGAAAGCTAAACATACTTGTTGCAAACAAACACAAGTCAAATATACAGAAGTCATTCAGGTTACTCCAGACCCACAAGGTACCTTATCATACCACTGTCTGGTAAATAGCCTGTTTTGGTCATAGTTTGTTTTGGCTCCAAGCAGCTTTTGTCTGACATAGTCTAAAAGCTTCTAATGAGACAGAGGGATGAAAGATCTGTATGTGATGATTATCAGCTCAGCAGCACCAAAATTTGAATCTTAGACTTTCATAGCTGCAGAGCCAGTGCTTGTATAGGTGCTCTCCTCTGGACATTAGAGAAACGTAGGCAGTGCATCCCCAGCCTTCATTGCCACGTGAGGACTTTCATACCAAACTCTTACGTAAGGTTTTAGGGCAGAAAGATGCTTTTAGGAATACATGCCAGTGTGCAGAAATGATCAACACTTCAAAGGGTCACATGCACCACTAGAGTGGGGGAAAGTATTGCTAACACTCTTAGCTACAAGCAAACTGACTCAGAGAGAGGAAGAGTAATTTCCATATGCTAAGGCGGTTTTTGGAGCAGATTGGGAGAGATCTGAGAAGTTCTGGCTTCCATCCCCTTCTATTACTACTAAAGATGTTTGAGCTTTTAATCAATTTGTGAAGCCCTAGCTATTTCCCTGAAGGGGTGCAGATCACTGCACAGGGAGTGGCAGTCCTAACAATGGGACAGCTCTCCTTTATCCTCTTTGCAGACTCTTTAGAAAGTCCACACACACCTCTCAGAACCATACAGTGCGGGGTAAAAGCTGAAGCATTAGAACACCCCATTTGCAAATATGAAGAATGAACACCAAAGGTCCCCAACATCATCACTGCAGACTGAGAGAAGTGAGATTGATAAAAGCAGCTATCACCCCTTCTAAAAATAAGCAGACATAGGAAATTAGCTTACAGTTAGGAGCCCTTCACATTGCATTACTCTCTCAGCACTGTGCTCAGACTGCATTTCAGGAAAAGCACAATGATTGTTGCTAATAGTTGGATCTAATTTATAAGGAGCTGAGAGGAGACAATCATGAGAAAATGAGATAGATAAACTTCAGCTGGAAACAATAGGGATCAATTATGACATAATCTCAGCCCAGCATTCCCCGCTCCTGAGATACTGTGCCTTCCTCTTCATTAATCAGAGATAATCCAGAATTAGGGTGTTTAATTATTTGCAGAGATTCTTTTATACTTTCTGCCTCTAAAAAGAAGATGCTGATTAGCAAATATACAAAAGCTTTCCAGCTCCAGTCACCCATTGCATTTAGGGCAGGATTTTTGGCTGCAGTGTTGCTGTCATGCTGAAAGCTTCACTCTCTTCAGGTGGAATTCATCCCTGTGCTGAGGAACCTGGCAGATCAGCGGAGCTGGATAAAGGTGGGAATAAAAGGAGTAGAAGGCATTTATCTTTTTTAATAGCCAAGATGTTAATGATCTCCCTCCTACTGCTGCCAGTAGGTTTTGAGGTAGCTGGACAAAGGAAGATTCAGCTTTTACTGGTGAATGGTGGCAAGTTAATAACAGAGATCCCAACTTTTTTTTTGTCCTTTTGTTTGTGTGTTCAGTGTGATGGCTTCTGTACACAACACCAGATGTGCACAGAATCTTCTTCCTTCCCACTGACTACAGGACTCATGAGCCATGGGACATGAGGCATGCTACTCTCTTCAGAAAAATCGTTTCTCTTTTTCAGGAGCATCTCTGACCTTTGAAGGGGTTTTGACACACAGATATATAACCTGTGTGGAACAGGGACATAGATGTGCCTAAGTTTTTTTTGTTTCCTTACTTCCAGATTATAGAGCTGGAAGGGCTGTTCTTACTGTCTTGTCAGCTCGGACGAGACTGCAGAGTCAGGGCCTAAGGTAATAATTGCAGAGGGTGTTAAGACTCCTCGTGTGGAACTTCTGGGAAAATCTTTGCTTTCTGAGTTACTGAACAAGACAACTGCTGAATAGAGGGAAAAAAAAGGGTGGTTGGGGGAAGATGCTATGCAGACAGCAGCAATGCAGTCCCTGCAGGTCCTGCTGGCTTGCTCTACTGGATCCACTTCAGCTTCCCTACCTGAGGACTCCTTCACAGGATGGTTGGATGGGATTGAGGTCTATGGGATCTGAATTATCTCTGGCACTTAGACAGTCTGTTAAGATATTAATTTAGGTAGAACTTAAGCCTTACGGGCTTTACACAAAATAAGTAGCTGACAAGCCATGTGTGTCACATATTGGTTTCTAGCAGATGGAAAACATTACAGACTGGGAATAACTTTGTGGGAGATGTGGCTTGCCCGACTGTCTTCTAAGATAAGGGCACTAGCCTTAAGTTTTCTGTTGGATTGACTGCTCCTTGTGTGTGTCTGCGTGTATGTAACTCTGTGTGTGTAAATTAGGAGCTTCACATTCTCAGTAAATAGCACCAGCAAATGGAAGCTGGTAATATTAACTCTGTCAAGGCTCAGTATTGATCCTGAACAGCTCAGTGAAATCCAAGGCTGAGACTGCAGCCCGCTAGCACTAATAATTAAACTGGTTAGCAATATGGAGCTGCCACTCAGATTCAGACTTGTAATGAAATCGTTTAAGATAAAGATAAAAAAAGATAGAGCAAGTATGAATACAACTCTGTGGGTTGGATTTACTTTGAAATCTGTTTCATACAGATCTTAGACTTTATTGCCTTTATTATTACTCTGTTTAACTCCTTTGTCATTAGATTTTGTTCCGTACAATTGTAAGTGGAGGCAGACAGATATACATTTTTGCTCTCCTACAATTTACTGATTTGTTCAGTGAATGAAGTGTTTAACTGCCTGCCGTTGTGATGGTTGGAGGTCTTCTAGTCCAACGTAGCTTACTGCTTTCCAGTGGGGCAGCCCCTGTCTTTGGGTCTCATGGGAACTAAAGTAGCTATCTAATTGAAGGAAGGTGCCCACGGTTTACTTTCAGCCCTTTATATCAGGAAGGCTGAGCTTGGCTGCTGTATCTCAAACAGCTGCCCTGTAATGTTGGTGTGAAGTCTTTTTTGTCCGCCAATGATTTTATGGAACAACAATACCATTTTCCAGTGTATCACTATGATTTGGATTTTTTGCCTTCCCGCTGCAAAAATATGCTGGCTAGTGTTTTCACATGTCAAAATATCCATTGAGATATGAACTGCACCTGCAGAACTGGTCTCTTCTCTGGTGCTGCACATTCCAACACAGCTTATGATATATTATACGCAGATCAATATTTAATGGACACATTGCACTGTAAAGAGGCAAGGGCTTCCTATTCAAATTGAAGTTACTTTATCTAGAGACTGATGGGGGAAAAAAAGACCCTCCTATTCAAGAGAGAAGCCTCATTCTTACACTTTGGCTCTAGCAGAGAATCCTTTGTGCTCTCCAGATAGCAAGTGATGCCAAAAAGTTTAAGGAGGTAAGGTACTTAGTTTTACAATGAAGAATTTGCGTGTTTCACATGGTAAAGGTCTGCTGGGTGTCATATTTAAATAGGCACCTATACCTTTGCAATTGTGATCACCGGTTAGCATGTGTCTATGCAAAGACCAAGAAAAGAGGGGGGAACATCTGGGGGTGGTGGGTGAGAAATAAGCAGAGGTAATGGTTGAGCCATTGAGTCAATATGTAAAACACCAACCCTGGCTTTGTTTAAAGACAGAGCTGCCCTGTTCAACAGGGTGGGGAGAGCACAGCTTGAGTGAAGGTAATGGCATTGTGTTCAGTGTATAAGCTCTGTCCTGCAAGCAAATAATAGCCATCAGTTTGCACATGGCAAGACATAGCTCATAAGGAGCATGTATTTTTAAGTGCAATCAGTTTTTAACTCTCACACAAAAGCAGACAGCAACCAGCAAAGTAATGGCCTCCCTTGGCATATGTGACCATTCCTAACGTAAGAGAGGATTCCTGGCAGCTAGACAGTGACTTTGTCACACCAGAAAATGATATATACCCTGAATGTGGGTCAAGCTTGACACAAGCCATCACCTTACCTTTGCTGTTGCCATCGGGTCCACGAAGGATCGTACACTCCTCGATGTTGCCAAATGCCTCAAATAGCCTGCGCACATCATCTTCTGACTGCTGCTTATTGAGCATGCCCACAAAGAGTTTTCTATCTTCTGGAACAAAATAAAGAGATGCTTACCATATTTCACGAGGGATGTGAAAGCCAAGATGGCTCCGTATTACATGCAAAACAAATAGTGATTTCATTGAGGTGACATGTTTAAGAAGCTGCTAGTCTCTTCAGGTGGCTGGCTTAAAAACCTTAATAGCATTTGACTTTCAATGAATCATAGCGTCATAGAATCATAGAATGGTTAGGGTTGGAAAGGACCTTAAGATCATCAAGTTCCAACCCCCCTGCCATGGGCAGGGACACCTCACTCTAAATCATATCTGAATATCTGAAAATAATTTGGCAATTTAAAAAACAAACAAATAAAACCCTGAAAGATTTACTTATATATAAAATCCCTGCTTCTCAAAATCTAGGCACCAAAGTCTTCCAAATCAGCCTTTTCTGATCAATTTTTACAATCAGCTTGCAGTAACTGAAATGACAACATTGCTCAGACTGCGATCCAAGAGGAATGTGGATAAAGATAGCATATAAGAATAAAGTCCAAATGAAAAATAACATAAGTTAGTAGCCCTCGCAATACTAAATAAGTTGCAGGGAAAAAAAAGCAGATTTAACATAAGCTGTTTATAATCAGGGTATAAATCTGGAAGCCACAGCCTGTAAATGGAGATTTGTCATTCATACCCACTCACAGACATATACATACGAGTTTGGATGAGGTTTTTAATATATTTTTTAAGTTATTTGAAAAAAAAAGTTTTTGAAACATGAAGTAAACTTATATGATTGCTAATATCTGAGATAGTTCAGGCAGGTGGTATTTCATGTCAAAATAAGACATGGTCTGCTAGTAGACAGATAATTGTATTTTGAATGAGGAAGCTCAACGTGACCCAGCTGTGTGTGCTTGCATCCCAGAAAGCCAACTGTATGTTGGGCTGCATCAAAAGGAGTGTGACCAGCATGTCGAGGGAGGTGATTCTGCCCCTCTGTTCTGTTCTCATGATACCCTACTTGAGCACTGTGTGCAGTTCTGCTGTCCTCAACACAAAAGGGACATGGAGCTGTTGGAGCAAGGACAGAGGAGGCCATGGGAATGCTCCGAGGGCTGGAGCAGCTCTGCTCTGGAGCCAGGCTGAAAGACCTGAGCTGGTTCAGCCTGGAGAAGAGAAGGCTGTTTAAGGGGAGACCTTAGGTTTTGTTTCCAGTGCCTAAAGGGGCTACAAAAAGCCTGGAGAGGGACTTTTGACAGGGGCCAGTAGGAACAGGACAAGAGAAAACAGCTTTAACCTGACAGAGGGGAGATTGAGGTGAGCTCTTAGGCAGAAGCTCTTCCCTGTGAGGGTGCTGAGGCACTGGCACAGGGTGCCCCTGGAAGCTGTGGCTGCCCCATCCCTGGCACTGTTCAAGGCCAGGCTGGACAGGAATTGGAGCAACCTGGTCTAGTGGAAGGTGTCTCTGCCTATGGCAGGGGTTGGAACTGGATGAGCTTTAAGGTCCCTTCCAACCCAAACCACTCTATGGTTCTATCGTTTATACTTGGGCTTACACCAATATGGGGATCTTCAGTCCAGAATGAAATACATTAAGAAAATGTTGGTGAAAACAGACTAAACTCATGATTACTAAGCTGGTAGAAAGATTTCAGAAGGCACTGAGTGATGCCTTTATATTAGGCTTATGTTCAGTCGAGTACCATCACAGCAAAAAAAAAAAAAAAAGAAAATTACATATGTTACATTGTGTATGTAAACAGGCCATTTGCACATGATTCGTAAATGTTGTATTTATCATTCATTAAACACTATGTAAATGTGTGAACCAAGATTTTTTTTTTTCAGCTTACAGAGCAGATGTAGCCAATTTGAATAAATACATGTAAATAAATAAATAGTTTGATTTTTAAAAATTTATTTATTTTTAATGCTCATGTCACACTAACGCTTAACAAAACATTAGTTTGCAACAAACCTTTCCTGGCTGACTAATTGGGTGATTTATGTCACTTTTGTTCCCTGAGAAATCATTCATATAAGCAATCTGTCCTGATTCAACTAGTGTGTGCTCAAAATTCCCCTCTCCATGATGCACCTGTAAATTGGAAATGACTTTATAGCCTTGGATGAGGATAATTTTTCATGTAATAGATACTGAGTGAGGATATTAGGAGTTTTCAATCCTGCAGCCAAGTTATGTACATGAATTTAAAGTTTACTGCCCACAGAAAACCGAGTTATGTTGCCTTCATTCTGGCTGCTGAAATGGTAGGAAAAATAGGTTGAGGAGTATACATGTGCATTTTGGTAGGGGAGAAAAACAAGAATAGCCTTGTGATAGACATGTTAAAGGAAGAAATATGCCTACTTTATGCTGGAATTAATTAAGCAAAGGGACTTTCTGAGGTCCTTGTTCACAACACGAAGTTTGGGATTTACTGATGCACAAAGCCCTAACTGACACTGTCTACATTATCCCCTCTCAAAAGAAGGTGCTCTGGATATCTAAAAGCTTTGTTTCCTTGATGGCCAAACTAACCTTCCAAAGAGACTCTCAGAGGTGAGATACAAGCCTTAGAGAAGCAGTTACTGAAACTGAGGGTGGTAACACAGTGTCTTTCAGTGTAGGCTTAGACAAAGCCTTAGAATCATAGAATAGAATCATAGAATAGTTAGGGTTGGAAAGGACCTTCAGATCATCAAGTTCCAACCCCCCTGCAGGGACACCTTGCTCTAACTATATCACCCAAGGCCTCGTCCAACCTGGCCTTGAACACTGCCAGGGATGGAGCATTCACAGCCTCCCTGGGCAACCCATTCCACTGCCTCACCGCCCTAACAGGAAAGAATTTCCTCCTTATATCCAATCTAAACTTCTGCTGTTTAAGTTTTAACCCATTACCCCTTGTCCTACCACTACAGTCCCTAATGAAGAGTCCATCCCCAGCATCCCTATAGGCCCCCTTCAGATACTGGAAGGCTGCTATGAGGTCTCCACACAGCCTTCTCTTCTCCAGGCTATCCAGATCATGGAATGGTCTGGATTGGAAGGAACCTTAGAGCTCATCCAGTTTCCAACCCCTGCCACAGGCAGGAACACCTTCCCCTATAGCCCAAGCTGCTCCACATCCCAGGTTCCTTCACTCACTTCCAAGTGCTGGAATAAGCAAATATCCCCGTGTTTAAGGGCTGGTTTTGTGCTCAGGAGCAGGGAAGAGCAGAGACTGCTGAGAGCTGGCTCCATCCTGCACCCACCACAGAGGCTGCAAAGTCCATCCCGGAGTGCATCCAACACCCAGGAGCAGGGACAAAGGTCTCCTGCAGAGCCCCACAAGCCCCAGGGCTGCACCTCCCAGCACTGGGATCATTTCCCCTCTTCCCTTGGCAGCACCAGCACCGGTTTTCCTCCTCTCCTGCCTGGAGAAGCCCAAACTCTTGTATTAAGGCCACGAAAGAGTTCAATCCAAGCTCTAGTTGTTGTCCACACATTGGAGGAAAACCCACCCAGTAAATGAGACCGGCTGTTCTGGAAAAATGGGAGGATTTTTAGGTATGAGGCAGAGCAGTGGGAACAAACTAGGAACACCAGCAGCAGAAGGTTTTGCCTAGAAAGACTGTGTCTAGTAAATACTTCCAGCACAGGGGAAGCTGTTATATTGTACTTCATACAGTTTTCCCTGTTTCAAATAAGCTGCATCAGCAAAAACACTCCTATAGCTGTGTAACTGTATTTTCACTAGGTTTTTTTTTTTTTTTTTTTGTTAATATAAATGTATCATTAAAAAAAAAAATCACATCCCTCCTCTGTCAGCAAAACTCTCTAGTGTGGAACTGTCCTGAAACTGCCTCGTCTGGTTTAATTTATGCAAAGCTACAACCACGTGTTTTAGGAATCTCTTCATTTTACTTTCTATTTTATTTATTTTATTTTAGGTATTTTATCCCCCTTTTATACATCTCTGCAGGACACTGGGAGTGATGATGCCTTTCTACAGCACTGACTGGCAGTAGATGTGGTTCTTTGTTGAGCTGCCTACAAGGTGGCCATCAGACCACCAGGAACAGGCTCTACCCATGGTGAGGATCACCTTTGCCAGGAGCTGCTGGTCCAGCTGCAATAAAGGAGGGAGCATGAAGAGCGGCCCCATGGCTAGCCAGAGCTCAGCACTGCCTGGACATCACTTCCAGCCCCGTATCCAAATCAGCACCCTGTCTGTCTCCTGAAAACCCATGCCTTGGGTGTCAGGGGAATCGTTTGTCACATCTGCCATCTGAGAAATCTGCACAATCACACACTCAGCTGATAATAAATGAGTCAGTTTAACAAGCTTTTTTGTCTCTGAGAGCTGCTTCTAACAAAGTGCTGCAGTTACCTTCCACATCCCAGCCCTGCCAGGGAGCTCAGCAGTATGTTTTAACAGTGCTCCTCGCACATCTTGGGTGGGAAGAGAGAGGCAAGTATCCAGCAGACTGGACCTTTCAGCACATTCCAGGTCTTGGCTAACGAGTTTATTCTCTAATGGACTTATATAAGCCTTTTACACACTGACTGCTTCCATACACTGCTCTTCCAGGTCCCAAGTAAAAAGCTGACATATCATGGACCAGGTCAACTACTCCTACTTTGTAAATACATCTGAACAAGGCCATGAGATGACAGAATAAAATGATGACAGGATGTGCTGGTGTCAGCAGCAGCCTGAGCAGTGCCACTGCCCTGCAGTGTGGGGACTGAGTGTGGTGTCTAAACCTCTGTTCCACTTTTGTTTTCCCCACGTGGTTATCAGCCTTTCCCCACAACCTGAGTCCATCATGCCTGCTTGGCTCACGGAAACAAGCATGGATGGATATTTCTCTGTGCTGTGGCACCTAGGAAAGCAGAGGAGGCTTTGGCTGGTGCATTACAAGGCCCTCACCATGAGTAAACTGAGGCACTCCGATAATATTGAGAATTAAGTTCATCCCAAGTCTACTTCATTTTGACATAAACAAGCTACAGCAACAAAAGGAGCCAGCACCTCTCTATCCCTCCTAGCAGGGCAGGTAAGTAAAGAAAGGCCACCACAACAGCATATGAGCTCCTAGATGTCACCCCTTGGTGATATTTCCAATACCCCCATGGAACCAAGCTTCCCTCTTCTTGACCAGCAATGGGGGTTTGTACCCATACGAAAAGCTGGCTGCAAGGCACAGTGG